CCAGTATAATCTGTGTGAACTAAAGTAATGAGCACTTAAGTGCCACAGCAACCATGGACTAATTATATAAGGTTCCACACCAGGAATCCCGGTGGTCACCAATATGGCCAGTGTGGATTTGCTGAAGTATATGCTGCTGGCTAACAAAATTCTATAACTTAAAAGGAGAATGACTGTATATCAAGTTACTTTTCAAGATGCAGTTATTTGGAAAAGCAGGGTTGCTCTGTATCCAGATTTATGATATATCTTAACTAAATGTAACGGAACATAGATCTACAACACAGAACAGCTGCTTTAAGTAGAGGCATCAATTTCTAATCACATGCACCAAGTCAAACCAAACCCACCGGACTGTTTAGGATAACTTGTCATGAACATAGTTCAGAGCCTGGTCGAGAACTCTTGACCTGTTGGCTGGTTGGCTATATTAAGGTCAAGCATACATTTTGCTTATAGCAATGTTTTAATTATATCTTCTTGAATCCCCTTCTGACATGCAAAACCAAATATGATCAACCACTCTGACCATATAGCTATATAGTTTGGTTCCTCAATCCTCATTTAGAAATCTAAACCCACTAGAAAATTGGCTCGATTCACATCAGCCTTACATGTCCCTACTATAACCCATCTCAGCGTGACTGACCCAACTCGTCAATCACCTCTAGTTCAAGAATTTGTCATCTTTAAGATTTGTCCCTTTTTGCCTCTATGTACTGCTAATGAATTTGAAATTTTATTAACAGGAAAGGTTGACTGATGAAGTTGCTGAGATGACTTGTAAATTCTCCTCTGCTCAGATTGAGAAAGTCTCCGGTAGTCCAACTTTGAAACTCCCTCATTTATTCAATCTAACTCCAAATTCATCGGGGAAAGGCAACCAAGCACCAAAGCAGCATCCTGTAGGTAGTCAAACCAATCAGGAAACTTTGCCAGCCCCAAAAACAGTTTCACCTCCATTTACAATTGATGAAGATGGTGAAGCACAAGGTCAGCGCCTTCAGCCATTACCCACTCGAGGCGATCTTCAGATGTTGAAGACCAACAGCTATTATCCAGTTTCTACTTTGTTTACATAATAAATAGAGATGAGCAAATTTTACTTGTCTATTCACTATTCCATGTGGTTTAATTTTTCAGAGACTGATGATTATTATGCTCACAACATTCGTCGTTCTGTTCGTGAAGCTGCACTATCAAGCTCATCAAGCAACTCAGAATTGTTGCAGGAAAGAAGCATTGATGATGGTTCTGAACACTTCTTTATACCTCTATCAACAACAGATGCTGCTTCTCAGAAAGAAATCGACTATGTTCCTAACTGGAGAAATCAACAACTGGTTTTCTCCTCACCACCAGAAGATCAGGCCCCGATGAACATGACAGATCTTTCCTGTAATGCCAATAGCCAGCAAAGCTTCATTCCAGATATGTTAAATAAATTGAATGGACTGAAGGAGAACAAAAACCTGGCCAGGCTGTTCCAACCATCCACTGAAAAAATACAAAGAACGCATCCTGAAGCTAACAACACTCTGGATCAAGTTTTCTCACCTCCATTGTTACTGGAATCATCATTCTTCCAAGATGCATACGAGGACTTGCTTGGTATGGTTAATATTTCCAGGCATGTGTTGGTATATTTTTTCAAACTGCCTAGTGTGGGTGTTGATTTTGGTCTTCACTGTCCGCTCTGTTGGCTGAGTGCATTGCTCATAGTTCTTGTTCCTGATTACTACACCGCTAACTGTGGCAACCATTTTCTTTTCTTCTGCAGCACCATTATCTGAAACTGATGCTGCTCTCATGGAACACTAGAGTTCCATATCCACCATGGTGGTGGTATTATATGCAGCTGAAGAGAAAGGTTAGATGCTGCAGTCTTGGTCAGAGGGCCAACATCATACATTTGTTTGCGATGCGATGGTGACTAACTTAAGCAACTGAAATATAAGGGTTTCTAATTCGAGTTTGAATCGTGTGATGTAGTCTAATTTACATGCGATTTCACTGTTGTTGTTGGTTGTTTTGATGATGGTGTCATTTTCTCTACCCGGTGTGTAGCAGCTGTATTTATGTTGTATCTTTTCCGACTTAACAAAATGTCCTTCTTACCCTTCAATGGCTTGTTTTGGATTTGTGGGTCAGATCTTTGTTATCGTCATGGGTAAATATTGGTGACATGTGGACTGCAAGTTATAATTCGGTATTTTGTGAATCAGGTTTTGTGCACAAGCAATCAGTTTGCCTACAAATGACTCATGGAGAATCCTCTGTAACCCATATGCAAATCAAAATTCTAATTGCATATAAGTCTCACAATTTTCTTGGTAGTCTGAGGGTATAACCATCAAAATTCTAATTGCATATAACTATCACAATTTTCTTGGTAGTCTTCGGGTATAACTATCAAAATTCTAATTGCATATAACTATCACAATTGCATATAACTATCAAAATTTTAATTTCCTTAATTTTACCTTCGAAACCACTGTTTTAACATCTTTGTGCGATGTAATAGCACAAACAAATTCTCAAAGAATCCATAAGCCTTTATCCGATTTGCTCTTCAAATTCTAAAACACTCTTTTAAAAAACTCAACACTCAATCTAACTTTCCTCCTTTCATTAGAGTGTTGGACATCTGGAGTAAGTTTGGCGAGAGACTCATCATCTAGTCGGTTTGCCCGATGGGTGGTGGGTGGTGGGTGGTGGGCTCAGTCATGATCGTCACAAATTATGGAATTATCACCGACTCACCCATCCTTCACTGCAACTTTCTTGATGACCGTCATGCCTCCTTCATGGCAAAATCTTCTTGCTCTTTTTCTGCTTGAGCCTCTTGCTGTGCTCATCTAATGATTTTTCCTGTTTGAGGGGTGGCAAGACACTATTGTCTTCAGATTCAGCTTAACTTAATACATGGGCTTCACTTGTTTCATCATCGTACTGGTCCCAGACTTTCTTTTCTATTTGACTTTGCCAACTCTCTTCCTTTTAGATACTTTCTTACCGCTAGAGATTGGCAATTCATCATTATCTATGATTTCAATATCATCGCATACTTGTAGATCAGCTTGTTGATCACAAGTATTGCCATTGGAACCTGTTTAACAAGAATTTTGAGACATTATCAAATTGTTTTACAAGGCGAACGAGTTCCTTACAGATTTTCTAACATTAATTAAAGAAGAAAACCGACCTATTCTAGAATAGGATTTAGGTAAAAAGCTACCAACAATCTACATGTACAATTTGTTCCAACATCACTGTGCTGACAAGCACTGCCATAAAACATGCCTATTTGTCTGTGATTCATGATATCATAACCCAAATACTTCATAGGCTAGCCAGATTTTTTTGTGTGGTAGAATACTTGACCAAACCTAAATGGAGGTACCATGACTAAAGATTCAACAATAACTAATGAGATGCCCATGACCACCGGGAACCAGAAGAGTCCTGATGGTAAGGCTTGTCTAAATCATTTGCTATTAATAGTGTAATACAGTAAATTTATTGCCAATGATGTAAGAAGTCCATGGACTGATATTACTAGTAACTAGCACACATGGGCATGCTGTTGCTCAGGTATGTATACTCTTGTAACCCAAATATTTTATCAAACTATATAAATCTGAACACATGGAATATGTTTTGATTGGGTTTTGTTTCAAATTTAGCATGCATTTAGGGCTTCGTTCATCATAACATGTGATCTAAATTGTACCAAGTGGGCCTTGTCATGTGACCCAAATTGCCTAAGCCCATGCATTATCAGCATCCCTGTCAGGTCATTTGCCTAAGTGGGATTATTAGGAAGTCACAATCTACCCTAACCAAATGGAGATGTCCTCAACAAAACTGGCTCAAAATCCCTCACTCAAGTACACTATTATCATGGTGCACATGATGTTCATGGTGTTAACCCTAAAGCTAGTTGACCTACTAATCCATTATTTGTATGGAGGTTAGCTATGTTTTAGATAAGACTTAGTTGACCTACTAATCCATTATTTATATGGAGCAGAAACAAACACACGAGATGTTAACCATGTTTGTTATTTGAAATAGATCAATCAAGTTACATGTACTAATATCACATTCATTTCCAATGTGGATCTACCGAAGTATTAAGTTGTATAGAGTTATAGAGCATGTAAATGTGAATTTGTAGTGTCAAATCCAAATTGTTAAATAAGTAATACCTGAGAAATGTGAATCGATCACCACATTTGTTAGATGTTGCTTGAGGAAAACCTATTAAAAAAAGAAATATACTCAATGATAGGTTTATACAAACCAAAAAGAAAATGTGAACTGTTTGCAAGCACTAGTTGTTGAACCTATGGATTCCTCTACAATATGCATCCAATTACCCCAATATAACCTATAAATTAATGGGCTTTATAAGAAAAATGAATCTAAACCGAGAGGAAGAACTAAATTGCAAAGCACTACCAAACTTAAATTCCCTTCTTTAAAATTGTTCTATTATATGTAAGCCAAAGGATACTGAAAATTTTGTTGAAGCAAGATCCATTTATGAGCTGATAGTAGTTATAGCATACCGCAGATAGAAGTTGTCTCGTCTTTGCATCCCACACACGCAAATAGCTGTCCAATCCTATAAACCAATATCATCATTAAGCATGACCTTATAAACCTACGACCAAAACACTAATACATAATGTGGCGAGTAAAGAACTAAGGTTTGCACGAAAGCATAGTTTGACATATTACTTGTGAAGACATGGCATATGAAATTAAAAATATTTCATGCTTAACTATAGTTTTACCAAAAAAAACTCATAGCAAGAATATATATTACAGTTTCAATAATGACAAGAAATTTCAGTCAAAGCTCTAGGGCCAGCAAAATAAGAGAAAAAGATTCTTTTACATCTTGAACGTTCAAAATTATAGTTAACATTTAATAAAAAGTAAACTTGAATTTGCAAGGTACAAGTCACCACAAACAAGTATCCCAAAGTATGGCAGTACACTTTTCAGCATGTATCATCTTTTTAAATTACCAACAAGAGAACTTCCAAAACAACACATCCAAATATTACAAATGATGTCCATCTAATGCCGAGTCTATTGAGGTGGGAACTACCTAAAACTTGATGATGCTTACTGCTACCATTGAGATATTTTCTTCAATAAAATCTGTCAACATGACATAGCTAGAAATGAGAATTTCACACTAGGCCGATGGTGTACTGCCCCAATGGCTAATCCAATCAAATTGGGGATTGGGTCAAGGTATATCAATAGTTTTAGGTAATTTCATATAAGTAATTTACCTACTATCTTGTTAATATAATTAAAGAATATATCAATAGTAAAAAATGTATTCATAAGCTATGAGATAATAGTTACATCAATCTTTATTACGTCGGAGATGGTACTAAGTTTATGAACCCGAGTCAAAGATGAGGCAAGGTCAGGGGACTTGACTAAATCCAATTCAACTGGGTCGGGTTTGAACAGATTTGACAGGGAAACAGGCATAATCATGGTTGAATTAGGGTACAATTTTCCAAAACCGATTTAAGTCCAAGACAACGACAGATATCACCTAACCCAACCCCAAGCCTGCCTGCACCATCCCATCTCACCCCAATGAAAAAAATGAACCCCCAACTATCTTGCAAATATAACTGAAGCATATGCCAATAATAATACATGTATTCTCGTAGGAAATTCATGCAGTGATAAGACAGTTAGTACCATTAATTTTTTGTGTGGGTCATGGATGGTAATAAATTTATAAACCCGAGTCGAAGATGAGCAGGATGAGAGCCGAATGTTAGACATAACACTTTCGTTTTCATTAGAAACACAAACAGAAGGATGTTTATCTTTAACAAAATTGATTGTAAAATAACTCCCAATAAACCATGAAAAGTATGTCGAACATTAACCTTCAAGATGAAACAGTATGCACCAGTAATTTCTCTTGAAATGAAGCAATGACTGATAATCCATGGAGGATCGTTACTCAACATATCAAAGAACAATAGAAAGCTTGAAAAGTTACATTAAATGAAAACCACCAAATATATTAAATTTGGTATATCTGAGTTATAAACTAAAAACTTCCAACATGGAATACTATTCTTTTTCCTTTTTTTCGAGGAAACAAAACACTATTTTGTGCCATGGTAGAAGTAAAATTGACTGAATATGTCGAATTAACAGTATACAACTTCTTACCACAAGATGCTATCATGGGAAGTTCTGGATGTCTCGCTATAGATCTGATGCTTCCAGAGCACTTACCAATAAAGCATCCGATCAGTTTTCTTGAAACAAGGAAATCGACTGCCATCTAGTCAACATCAAGAGTTAGTTCTAAATATTAGTAACCCTGAATCACTTGAATCACCAGGGGCCAATTCATCATTGATCGAAGCTAATTATTAATTGTCTAACAGGTGATACAAATGTGAAACCATTAAAAGAAAACTCAGATATTTCAAAATCATAAGCATCAGAATAACGGTAAATACTACAATTCAAAAAACTAAAATGAATGGTACTACCCATTACCCAATACTTTAACGACACTAGGAATTTGAATTGTTAAATAAGATTTTTCAGCTATAAGCATGTCCTAGCTTCAAGCTCACATTGGAAAAATCTACCCAGTTAATTAGATGAAATATTATTACTTGAACTGAGTTAATAACAGAAAATATAAGTTCCAAGTGAGTCAAGCTAGTTCCGTCTCTGATAATGAGCTCAATTCATTAACATTCTTTGGACCAAATCCTTAATCCAAGAGCACAGGTCACCAAAAATGTAAACATAAAGCATGGACTTCTCAGAAATGACAGAAAGCATTAATGCACAAAAAACAGGAGGATGACTACTTACCGCACATAGTTAAGAAAAGTTGAGCCAGTTCATTGACAATGAAAAGAAATTAGAAAACTATGTAATATAGGAGTTAGCATAATTTCCTTTATGCATACCATACCTGCAACACATGTCACATTCAAACCTTTAGTTTCCTTGTTCGAACTGACTATTCCTGGTTCTATATCCTTAATTCATGTTGAGTCTTAAACTTTTTTTACGATTTCATAAAGGCCTTCAACATCAGCTGATTACTTCTAAAATTGCTTATGATGTAGCCACATATATTGTCTGACATAAAACTGTTTGAAAGAACTTTCTGTTCTACTGAAAGTTTCAACTCCAACAATTTGACCATAAAGGAATAACAAGTTGAGGTTCGTCGGACAGCCCAAAAACTAAAAAGTTTTTATCGATGAAATAAAATAAGAAACCGTGATAATTTTGTCCATTATGGTAATAGGACTTAGTTTATTATGGGAGTAGGAACAAGTAGCTAGACATATGATAAATGTCTATAAGAATCAAAGAGTCTTAGATATGAGATGATAACTAAACGGCAATCAGAGAAAGGATCTGATCAAGAAATTATATCCAATCAAGAAATTATATCCAAAAAAAAGAAAACAAAAGAGAAATAAACAAAACAGCTAAATATAATTAACAATGTAGTTGTACAGTGACCTTGTAGAACTATGACTTTCACTAGTTCTCATACATGAAATTTCAGAATCATGAGATTATGATCATAAAAAACAACAAACTAAAGAGGATGAATGAATCGGGTAAATAAAATTAAAGCATAGCCGCATAGTGTACGTGTAGAACTATGTCTTTTACCTGTTCTCATATCAAATGAAGCAAGATCCCCGGAACCATTGCCTACATAGACTGTATAGCCATCTAGATCTTCACAAGCTGCTTTAATTGGAGATTCTCTAAAGTCGACTGAAATTACAGGTCTCCTCTGTGCTGAAGTATCATAAAGACGAATCTATCACAAGATATAATTTTTAACAAATAAGAGAATAACAACATACTGATCATTAGAATCTCATGCGGACTGAGTAATTAGTTTACATCATTTTCTCAACTTCTAAAGCAATGGGTCAAAAACTATTAACCACATACAAAAGATTCATTAATCAGGATAGACCATATGGTCAAGAATATTTCAACATTAATCAATAAACAGAAGAAAACTGTTTATTAACTACAAGTTGGTTAACACTCCAAATGTGCAAGCAGTATTTGTAAAAAAGTTTGGTCAGGCACTGTTATCATAAAATCAAACTTAAGGCTTTCACATGTATCCTCGATCTCATGGCAACAATTGCAAAAGTTGTCGAAAGACTTACAATAAAAGTTATACTCCCAACTATTAGCATTTTTTAGCTTGTAAGCTACAACTAGTAAACATATTTCATAGTGCCATACCTGATGATTGAT